TTGCATGGGATCTGCAACATCTTGTGGGGATGTGCTTAGAGTGAGCTCTGCAGTGGCTCCTGCTCCATTACAAATGCTTGCTGGACATAGTGGGGACCAGCACAGCTCCTTCTCCATCTGCTTGGTCTGGGCAGTCCTTTCCCTAAAGCAGTGGACAACGGACTGGCCCTGTATGGCTCACCTGACCAAGGCAGATACCCTGTAGATGTCTTCTCTGCCATGTTTGGATTAGGCATGAGGAGCAATGCCACTGGGATGCAGTGGGGACAGATTTGGTGAGGGACCATACTGCATGGTGACACCTGTGCCCAGGGCACAACGTGCTTGGGGACGAGGTTGGGGATCTGCCTGGGGAGGGCTTTGTCTCATGCCCGCTGGGACTGGTCGCTGGCATTTTTGCTGGGAGCACAGGGTCAGTGCTGCGGGGTGTGGGAATAGCCAGCCAGGAAACTCTTGGGTGTGTATCTTTCCTGCAAGAGCCTCCCCGAACTGAGTCATCCTGCGCGATGCTGTGCTGTCCACCCTGCACTCTCTCTTCCCGTGCCACAGGTCCAGCCGTGGGGTCACCACCTGGCCCAGCCATTCACCTCGGGCAGGGGACCAGACCCTTCTTGGAAGGCCAGCACTCAGTTTGCTTTTGCATTTGGCTTCAGTGTCCACCAAAAGGCAAGCTGCAAGATGGGTAAAACTGAGGAAATTTGCACCTGATAGAGAGAATGAACTGAGTTTGGTTGTAACTCAGAGTGACTCCAGTGTGAAACCCAGCAATCCCCTGGGGGGGACCCCAAACATGCTTTATCTCCAGGGCAAGAAACTTGTTTATAAAGGGAAGGATCATCCCAGGTGTCCTCTGCGAACCTCTCTATAGAGTGGAGCATCTTGTTGTGGCAAAAGGTGGTGGCAAGTGGGATGTTTGTAGGCAAGATGGGGTGAAGAGCCCTTGCTCTGCCCTGGGATCTCAGTGTCTGAACTATGAACTCCCTTGAAGAGCTGCTGTCTGTTGCCTTCCCTGGTGGGCAGCGTAAAAACTGTTTCACTATGAGAACCCAGTGATGATCTGGCCCTTTGCCTTAATTTTCTTTTGGTTTTCTTTTTTTCTTACAGTTGGCATAAATAATAGAGTGACAGCAGCCTCGGTACTGCAGCAAGGATCTGGGTATGCATTGCCATGGCAGATAAATGTGTGAAAAACACTCACGTGCACAAAGAGGACGTGTGTCCAAGTGCCGGTGGTGCCTGGCTGCTCTCTGAAGGACTGCTCTGCACCAAGAGCTGTCCCAGGTCGGTGGCTTTGCATGTCAGGCGTGTGCTTTGCACCCAAATTATTTCAAATCTAGCAAAGTTTGTGCTATATATGAGCAGGCAGTGCCTTGGTACCTGGGCATCTGAGTGGCGTGCTGGGATCGGCTCCAAGGTGGTGAGAAGCTGTCTGTGACATGGGATGTGAGCGAAGCATGGAAATGCCTGGCCTTTGGCTGGACCAGGGTGGGTCTGGGGCAACCCTGGGAGCTGCTGCGGCTACAGCCCTCCTGTGCTGGGGGAGCAGCTGTGTGCACCGCTGCTGCAGAAAGCCCCGTGTGGCTAGTAAAGTCCAGTGCTTGGATTAGGAAATGAGATGCAGTTTCCTGGGCAGCCTTAATTCGGCCCCACGTGCAAGGGCATTAGGATTCAATCAGTAATTGTGCGATCCCTGCCGTTTGCCCTCTAACAGCCCTGACCTGTTCCTGACACTGGCTGGAGCTTCTAGCCCCTCCAGCCTCAGGGCTCGGAGTACTGTTCTGGCTTGCTTGATTGTGCATCCCGAGCTTGCAGTGGTCCTGGAGACAGTTAGGAGTTGCCTTCCCAGCTTTTCCATGGCTCTGCACTGTAATATTTGACCATTTAAAAAACGAATGGGTTTACGTTCTCAGCACCCTATGGTGGGGAGGCTCGGCTCCTATGAAGAGACATCCTTGAGATAGTGAGGGAGTAAAGCCTGTGTAGCAAAACCCCACCAAACCTAGGGACCTCGGAGGCTCAAGCCCCTGATCTGAGCCATTCACTCTGGGTCTGAGCTAAGCCCAGAAGATCCCGTCTAATTGCTGCTGAACACCTCTGTACCCCCCTGCAAGCAAAATACCCAGTTTTAGGGCTCTCAGCAGAGACATGTTGGGATTCCCCACCATCCTCTGCTTTCTAGATCTGGAGCTGGAGGCACCTGAGTGGGGGCCACCCTGTGAGCTTGCTGGAGCTCATGTGTCCCTCCCTCCCTTCCCAGGAAGACAGACTCAGGTGCCGAGGAAATACGGAGGGGGCTTTCCTCCAGTTGGGAAGCATGACTGCCTCGTGCAGAGCGGCCTCTCGACTGCTGAGCTTCTGTGCTGGTGCCCTGTCTTGTCTGAAGCTGCTTTGTGTTTATGGGGTGGGAGAGGGAGGGTCCAGAACTGGTGCCAGCAGCGAGCTGGGTCTATGTCTGTGCAGCAAAATGCATCTAGGAAATAGGGTTCATGGCAGATTTGAATGCGGGCAGGTTGGGCTTGGGGCAGGAGGAATGTGCAGGCAACCCCTTTCTGAGCCCAGGAGGGTCAGCAAACCGTGTTTCACAGCCCTGCAGCACATGTGGAGCTGAGAGCTCTTTGCAAAGGGTGAGCAATAGGCATGGCGCTGCCCATCCGCCCATCTCGCAGGCACTCACGTGTCGAGCCTGTGCATTTGTGCGTGTCGGGACGCCTGCCTGCGTGCTTGTGCCTCCCTTGGCACTACAGCATGTGCGAATGAGCTGTTGCCGGCACGGGGCTGTGCTCTGCAGATGTTCTTGCGGTGGAGCAAAAGCCTCTTTGCAGCTTTCTGAAGCAGCCCACGGGATCTCCTGGCTCTTCGGAGCGGTGGGCGCTGATCTACCCCTGGGATCTTGCAGGCAGTGGGTGGGAAGCATCTGTCTGCTGCAGGCTGAACCCCTCTTTGCCTTGGAGAAGAAAAGGGTGTTTAGAAAACAGAGGGGCTTCCCACAGTGAATTTGCAGTTGCTGTCGCTCATCTCCCCACCCCACAGGCATTAGGTCGGGTCCCAGCAACCAAGCAGCTGCAAAAGTCACCGTCAACTTAGATTTCCCTGGGTGGTTTCGCCCCAGCGGTGGCAAGCAAAGGGCTGCAGCCCGCTGGGCTCAGCGTTGCCTCTTGGTGTCTCCAGTGCCTGGCGGGGGCTGAGTGATGCCATGTCTCCCTTGGATGATGGAGGTGAGAGCAGAGTTCCTGTCTCGACTGCAAAGCCAGGGGCTGGCTGTTCCTGCAGCCCTGTCTCAGCTTGCTGGCACCAGGCCCTGCCTGCAGAACCAGCGGGAGGTTTGCTTTTTCCCTCTCATCCAGTGGAGGCAAGTACCCCGAGCAGCATCTGTCCTGCTGCTGCCTTGCCGAGGGGTGAGAGCGTCTGCTTGCTTGCACGTCTGAACCCCCTTTGTGCTCACCCGGGATGGCTGCGAGGACTGTGACTGGCAGGGTTTGCTCTGGGGATGATGCTCTGCTGCTCGCTCGTGTTCCGGTACGGAGGGGCAGGGCTTGGAGAGCTGCCCCAGCTCCTCACTGCATCGGCCACATGGGGAGCCGGGAGCCCAGACATTTACGGAGGAGGTGGTGAGCCGGGGTGGGGGGAGCCGCGTTCCTTCCGCAGCTTGGAGGGATGCAAAGGCCTGGGGCTGCACAGAGGTGTTTACAGCTCCAGTTCCTGTTCCCTTTTCCTGCTGGGTTTTGCTGCTTAAGTCTATTGTTGGGCCATTTTGCACAGGAAGGAGGAAGAAGTGTTTTGTTTTAAGCTGTTTATGGGAGCTGGAGAGGAATGCGTGAGCAGCCTTGGTCTCCAAGGCTGGCCAGGAGCAGGGACAGCATGGCAGTGAGGACAGAGCCTGGTGCCGGGTGGAATTAGGTAGCTGCCACACCGTGCTCGGGTCATTTGGTCCTTGCCGTAGGAGCTCTCGTGGCTCACGTTGTGGTTGCAAAACCCATCTTGCCAGATGCTCCAGCCTGGGGTTTGCATCCTCGTGGGTGAGCAAAGGTGCTTGGGTGCACTCGGACCCTGCTGGAAATATTGCCTGGCCCCATTTTGGAACCAGGCTTTTGGGCTGGAGGTGGGATGTACAGCTCCAGGCTTGCCAGGGACTGCAGCATGGTGCAATGGGGTGCTGCAGCCAGGAAGCTGCTGAGGTGCTGGAGCAGGCATGTGGCTCCAGCGCTGGAGGGGATCAAGCTCTGGGACATGGCCCATATCCTACTGCAGGATCATCTCCTTTTCACTAGTAAGGGCATACCTTGGGCTTTTTGTGCTGTCCCCGTGACATGGCACTTGAGAGGCTCGTTGTCCTTCTTCCCGGTGACTCCTGATCATATGGAGGAGCCCTGTTCTGTGTTACTTGGGACACATGTGGGGATGCTGCAGGGACCTGGGAAGGAGGGGAGAGGAAGCTGTAGGCTGTTTGTAGCCCTTTTGTTAAGAAATGTCTTCAAATGAGCCTGCAGGAGCCTTGGAAAATAACCAGTGAGTTCCCAGTCATGCCAGTGTCAGCTGACACCCCTGTACTAGGATCTGTGCCCCTTCTCTGCCTTGGGCAAGGAAATGTGGCTGCATGCAGGGAGAGCATCTGCATGCCATAGGCAGGGGACGGCACTGACGGCAGCCCTGCACCGCAGTGGGGGCCTTGCCAGGGCATCTGTGTGGGCACTGGCAGTGCCAAGCTGATGGTAAGGGAGGAGACCGGGCTGCCTTCTGCTCTGCTTGGCTTTGTCCCAGCTTTTGGGACAAAGGCTGGAGCGTTTCCACAGCTGAGTGCCGGTGCCTGGAGAGCTGCTGGCTGCCAGCACCTGCTCTGAGGGGCTGCCATGATGTGGGCTTGGGGTCCTGGCTGCCGCTCTGGTTGCTGCTAGCAGAGCTTGTGGTGAGGTTTCAAGGGGCTTCAACTGGTCCCTGACCCCATCCAAAAAGGCAGGGGGTACCCTAACCCTTCTCCTACCCTTCCCCTCTTCCAGCTGGCTGTCCTGGAGGACTACGCAGATCCCTTTGATGCGGCGCAGGTGGCTGTTAGCCAGGCAGGGCTGGAGAAGGTGACGGAGAACGATGGATATATGGAGCCGTATGAAGCCCAGAAGATGATGGCTGGTAAGGTGGAAGGCTCTGTGCAAAGGCCACTCTTCGTGCCTGCTGTGTGAATTTGGTGGCCACTGTACTCTGTTTCTTGCAGCCTGTGATAGCACTGAGTCCTCCAGACAAGGCAAACCTGGGCAATCGCTGTGGTGGTGCAGAGCCACTTTGCAGGCAAATTTTCACAGCTTTACCTGTGTGTGATGGGCTTGTCGTAGCCAGAGCACTCATAAAGGCTACCTGAGCAATAAAAGCACCTTGATATTTCTGCCTGTGGTGCTGCTCCGCAGGACCATGGTGCCTGCCCACCAGGCTGAGCCAGGAGAGACCTGACATTCGATGCATCTGGCATAAAACTAAGACGGATATGGGAGCTATTTAATTCGGTTAGGACTGGGCCAGAGTGTGCTGTTGTCTGCCGCAGCAGCGGAGTGCCCAGTAGGCTTGTTTATGGCTGGAAAGAAGGTGAGGTGAGAGCATGGGCTCCCGAAGGCATCACTCTTACCGCTGCGGCACACACAGGGTCGCTGTGCTGGCTTACGTGCTCCAGGCTCTGGCTCTGCTTTGCAGTCCCATGGTTTTCCTGGAGCAAGTGGTTTCTGGAAAGCTTGTGCAGCTTTTTGGACTAGACTGTTGCATTTCTTGGAAAAATGGGCAAGCGGTGAAGAGGCTGCTTGTGTCTGTGGGAGAGACTTTTGTTTTGTTTGAGGGAAGGGCATTTTATTAAACTAGCCACGCTGGGTGTCCAGGGAAGAAACCTGGCCTCACTGCTCACAGGGAATCAGGTTCTGGGATGCTTGTCCCCATAGACCCTGCTTTGCAGGGCTGCCCAAGAGTGGGGATGTTGTACCGTGGGGAGAGCAGGCATCTTGGTGCTATGGACTGCTCAGGACCATGGCTGCCCAGAAGCTCCCCCTCTTCTGGCAGGCACTTGATGGAGGTTTAGGGGGTCTCCTCCATTGCTGATTCTCCCTACCCCATGTCACCTTTGGGTGAAATTGAGCCTTTTCATCTAGCAAGGCTTTGGGGACCATGGCCAGGCTGTGTTGGGCAAAAAGCTCATGGTCTTTTCCCTCTTCTCCGGCTAGAGATCCGCCAGAAGGGCTTACGGGAGGCTCCCACCCGGCCACTGCACCTCTACGACACTCCCTACGAGCCTGTGCTTGGAGGGCTGGACATGGACGGTGACCGCCCAGCTTGCCCCAGGCCCAGGGAGTCCCGGCTGCCTGAGGATGACGAGCGGCCACCGGAGGAGTACGACCAGCCCTGGGAGTGGAAGAAGGAGCGGATCTCCAAAGCTTTTGCAGGTCAGTGATGGGAGCAGCCATAAAGGATGGGTAGCAGCCATAAAGCAACCAATGTTGTGTTGCGTTTTGCAGGGGGGAAGCTGGCTCCTTGGAGTTCCTTCGTCTTTTGGGGGTCAGTAGTGTTGGCCTCTGCATTTCCGTGGCTTGGGGAGAGCTTGTGCAGTTGCAAAGCCTGTCTCTCTTCAGCAGGGAGCCAGGCTGGGTGGAGTGGTGGATGGAGCTGCCCTGGCAGCCTGTCCAGTGCCCATCTCTCATTGCCTCTTCTCCCCTCTACTGACCACAGCCTCCAGTGCAAGTTGACCCCCCCAACCCCGAATTGTAGGGGAGAGGCTCGACCCTGGGCTCAAGCAGATCCCTCCTTCCTTGGGGCAGAAGGAGAAGCTGGGCGCTCCCCCAGGAGCCTTTGGCTAGGTGATCATCCAGCCCCCTGACCTATTTATCTGTGCTGTGGGATCGATTGTGTTTGTGTTTGTTAATGAGGAAATCCATGCTGTGCATTAGCACTGGCTGCTCCACTGGCGCTGGCTAATTGACACACTCTTATCTAGGATGCATTTTAATTGCAGCAGTGTGCGTCTGTGCTGCAGCTGGCATGCACAAGGCGCTTGAGCCGGTGGTTGTTTGTGCTGTGCAGGGATGCTGGCAGAGAGAAACATGGAGATTCTGGCTTGAGAGTGGTTCACCTGTTGGGTTTGGGCTCTGTGAGCTGGAGATCTGCTGAGCTTGACGCTGTGGTGTCTGCTCGTGCCTGGGGTTGCGCTCATGCCATTGGGACTCGGCCAGGTGCGGGGCTGGTGCCTGTGGTACTCTGTGCTGAGGATTCGACTTGTTGGGCTCCGTCATGAAACGTGGTGCGCTAGTGGGCTGGGTTTGTGCTGAGGTGTCTGTGCTCCGGATCTGGGCAGTTGAGCCACCTTGCTCAATGTCCCTGAGTGGAGGTGGCATGTTCACGGGTCTGGCTCACATGTGGATGCACATGGGCACTCCAGGCTTGCTTCAAGTCCCAAGGGTGTCAGGTTGCTGTGCCCCGGGCCTCATTAGAACCTGCTGCCCATTTTCTTCAGGAGCCAGAGCAGGTCCTGCTGTGGCTTGCAGGGCATTTCTCCTCTCTGCGATGGTGGGATCTCTCTGCTGGCCCTTTCCCCCTTTGTGGGGCCTGTGAGACCCCTGGTGATGGGCATCCAGTACCGACACAAGGCAGGCACCTGCTGGTGCCTGGCAGGGGAACGTGGACCCCGTGGGGTGGCTGGGAAGCGCCCGGGGCAAGATGGATACATGGGCAGGACAGATGGCAATGGGATACTTGGCCAAGGTCCCCTGGATGGATGTGCATGTGGGATAGGGGTGATCGCAGGCTCCCCCCCACCCCCAGAGAGGGTCAGCTGGGAAAGCTGATGGAGGAGCAGGGTCTCTCCATTGGGAATGTGCCCCGTGTCAGGCCTGTTCATGCTCGGTGCTGGGGAGGGGACGAGATGGTCAAGCTGGCCTAGGGCTCCCAGGAATTTGGTCCTCAGGTCTTTCCCCCCACAACTGCTCTCCTTCTCTGTGGGCCTGGTGTTGCTGACGGTTTTTCCTAAGCCCTTTCTTTCTCTCTTTCTCTCTCTTCCCCCTCCCCCCCCCCCCCCCCCCGTTTAAAACAAGGTCATTAAAAACCTGGCAAGCCCCCGCCCGGGG